TAAAAGTCTAGGAGTAAGTGGTATGTGTTCTGAGGAGAAGGGACAGTAAATGACAAAATCCCACCTGGACAAGTTGTTGGGAACACACTATGACAGGGGGAGGCCAGTGGCAGTTTGTGGAGCCCAAGGTCTGATGCGTTCTGCTGTTCATCTGCTGTGTGTATAGGAAGGGGAAGCAATGGCCCAGGACACACTGGTTCCACAGCACTGTGCCTGGCACAGTGACACCTGCTTTCATCCCAGGGACTCTGGACTCTGAGAAAGGAAGATTGACAGTTTGAGTCAACCTGGGTCACTGAGGAGAACCTGTCCCCAAATAATTAAAACAAAACAAAACAAAAAAACAGGCAGAGCGCTATCCTAGCATGCGAAAGGCCCTGGGTTCAACCCACAAACCTCTCAGCTCACAAAATGAGGATGTACACCGAGCTCCCCCGCTCTCCTCGACAGGCTCTAAACCAAAGAACAGCCATTCATGATCTCGGCTCACACAGGGGTGAATTCAGAGTAGAGGTCCTTGCTGTGTAACTAGCATGACTTATAGATTCACTGCTTGTTCAGGCAGCACGGCGTGGTGGGCACAGTGTGGACTGTGGGTGCTCAGTGTCCAGACCTCTATTAACCCTCATGAGCTGTGCAATCATGGGGACATAAATCAACCTCTGTGTGCCTCTGCATACCCATCTATAGCACAGGAACTGACATTAATTCATTTAAAAATTAAAAACAGAACATAAGTAAAGGTAGATGCAACAAATGACCATGTAGAGACAAGGAGAGGACAGGACCCCAGAGAGCTGAACCAGGCACCCCTGGTGGGATCTGGGAGGGGTACCCAAGGGCCCAGTGTGAGCTGAGGGTGTGTGCAGGGCAGGGGTGAAGGCTGAGAGTCCAGCCCTTTCCTCTTTGGCCTGGTAGAAACAAGGACAAGAATGGGAAGTAAGCCACCTGCAAGTATGGACTGCTCCAGGCTCCCTTCATCTGGAGAACCCAGAGAAGCCTGTGTAACTGCACTGGGTTCCCGTCAGGCAGAGCAGACCCTACTGCAAAGGAAGCTCAGAGATGACAAAGGTGATTTCATAAACATGAAAAGTCCGTTGTAATCACAAGAGAGGCAATTCTGAATTTGCACCCACCTGATGGTTACTTGAATGAATTTTTACTATAGACAAACAAAACAATATCCTGGGTGAATTCACCACACATCTTCTCATAATTGTTCAACAAGGAGACTAAGAAAATCAGAAAGCATCGCCCAGATTTGAATATGATTTCCACGTTGGACTGATGGGAAATGCAGAGAACTGTAACTATAGGATCCACATGTCTTTTAATCTCAGCTCGCTGGGAGACTGAAGCAGGAGGACTTCAAGTTCAAGGCCAGCCTTGTCAATGGTGGTTGACTTTGTCACAAAATAAAAAATGAAAAATGTCATAGCTCAGTGGTACAGTGCTTCACATTTCTATCCTCAGACCAGATAAACAACAATAGCAAAAAGAAAAAGAAAAAAAGGAAGGAAGAAAAAAGACTAGGTATATATTTAATCAGCACAGATGGACGGACTCTTTACTAAAATATGAACAAAAGCAATATTTAGGCAACTTTTTTGTTTTGTTTTGTTTTGTTTTTTTTTGGTATCAGGGATTAAACCCAGAGGCACATAACCACTGATCAACAGCCCCAGCAATGATAAGTTTATATTTTGAGATAGGGTCTTACTGAGTTGTTTATGGCCTTGGTATATTGCTAAGGATGGTCTTGAACTTGAGATATTCCTGCATCAGTATCTGCAGTCACTGGGATTACAGGCAAATACCACCATGCCCAGTTATAGGCATATTTTTAAATACAAAGAATTAAAATTATATGGGCAGAACATTCTCTGACCACAACGCAACAATGTCAAGATAAATCACAGAAGCATGAAAAGGGACCCTCGTTGAGTCTGGATACTGAGAAATGCATTTCTATATCATACATAAATTACATAAGAAAACATAATGGATTTTTCGCAAGTTCAGTTATCTTTATAAATTCTGGCAGAAAGGAGGAGAAAAATCAAGAGGACATTGATGATAATTGAAAGGGAAAGGGGTGAA